TTTCTCGACAAAACTTTCGAGTGAAAACACAATGGACAACAACAAAAAACGAGAACTGGGTTATGAAGATGAAGAGAATAGAGAAAAAAAGTGGATTTCATTTGGTTTGTTTTTGTTTTTGTGTGGATTTTTTTTGTGAAGGAGATTGATAGGAGGTGTGATGGATCTTAAGAGAAGAGTTATTTTGGGTTTAGGTGGAAGAATTTGGTCTGTTATTTTCTTCAAAAGTGGTTGAATTGAATGGCTCAGGTGAAAATTTTGAGGTCAAACTTTGCTAAAAAAGATTTGGAAAGAGAAGAGGAAGACCATTGAATACTTTTCAATTTTTTTTTTTGCCTCAAAATAGTTAACTGCCATTTTCTTGCCTTTTCTTAACCTCTATTTGTGGGTCATCATAAAAAAAATATAAAAATATATCTTTAAGTTCAAATTTAATATTTAAATTTGATTTATAATGGTTAAAAATTTAAATAAATATCCCTAAATCTCTTAAACATATTTTAATATTGTTATGTTGTATCAACTTGTAGCTAACTCTAACTCTATTAAGAATGGCAACTTAAATAGAGTTTAATATGCTATTACATATATTCTCGACCAGGAGATAAAAGAGTTTGAGTTATCACTAGAGATGTCTATGGAGCAGGGACGGGGAAGCCTTCCTCCTTTATTCCATCTCTTATTCTCTGTTTAAATGGAGGCTTTCTACCTCGTTTGAGATAGGTTAAATAGACATTTCTAATTATCAGAGTAGTCTTCCTCCCTTATTCCATCTCTTATTCTCCGTTTAAATGGAGGCTTTCTACTTCGTTTGAAATAGGTTAAATGGACATTTCTAATTATTACTAGAGATATACTCTCGACCAGGGGATAAAAGGTTTGAGTTATCACTAGAGATGTTTACAGGCAGGGACGAGGAAGCCTTCTTTCTTCATTCCTCCCTTATTTTCCATTTAAATGGAGACTTTCCAACTCTTTGGAGTGAGCAAAATGGATTTTTCTAATTATTACCGAGTCAAATACATTTCAAACTTTATTTTAAATTTTGGTAACATCATGAACTTTCCTTCATTTTGTTTTAGAAAATTTGAACCTAAGTAGCTATTTTTCATTATTTGAATGTGGGCTACACATTTATGAGGTTAAATTAAACCCTATTAAATGAATTGAATTTAATAGTTTTGACTAGAAATCCAAGTTGAATTCAAAGGACTCTAGCTCTCAACCAACGAAGCCTAACCTAGTGAGCAAATAATTAAATTATTATAAGTTCTCCACTATTTCCACTATTGAGTTTAAATAAAATTTTTAATCTTTTTTAATTTTCTACCATTTTTATACTAAATTAAAAGGTTAGTAGAAATAATGGGAGAGCATAATTTTTAATAATATCCTTGAACTTTCAAAAAATAATTAGTATTTTGTTTTAAATATATACTTAAAATACTGTTAAATTTAAAATATTTTTTTTATTAATATCCTTCTAATACTTTTAAAAAAGTATTATGGTTCTTAATACCATGTTTAAAAGATTAAAAGTAGCATTAACACTAACTTATATAAAAAAAATTAAAATAAAAAAGTTATTGTGGTCAAAGATAAGAACAACTATATATCTAAACTTTTAATATTTTTTTTTCCTAAAAGTTTAATATTTTTAAAGTTCTTTAACAAAATTTAAAGATATTTGTGAATTTTTTTGAAAGTAAAATACTTTTAAATTTGTGAAGGGTCGAAAGGGAAAAGAGTATTAAGGATTTTTCATTTTTTTAAAAAAAATTTAATGATATTTGAAAATTTTGATATTTTTATTAATTTAACAAATTGACAAAATATATATTTGTCACACTTTCTTTTTTGGCCTAACGGAATAAACGGTATTTGGGTGGTAAAATTAGAAATCTATCCAAACGTCGTCGTTATATATTTAGCCGATAAGCACCTGATTTATTATATATAATTTCTATATTGTCTCTTCTTCTCTGTTTCTGTACGCGCATCGATTCTTCCTCATCTCCACGTTCATCTTCTACCCTTTCCTCAGCCCTAATTTTTCAACTATGGAATCCATTGGAGTTCTGATGACTTGCCCGATGAACGCTTACCTTGAGAAGGAGCTCGAAAAGCGATTCAATCTTTATAAGTTCTGGCAGTTTCCTCAGAGGACGCAATTCCTCACGGAGAACTGCAATTCGATTCGTGCAGTAGTTGGAAATGCGAAGGCTGGTGCTGATGCCCCTTTGATTGATGCCTTGCCGAAATTGGAGATCGTCTCGAGCTTCAGTGTGGGATTGGATAAGATTGATCTCAAAAGGTGCAAGGAGAAGGGGATTCGGGTCACCAATACTCCCGATGTTTTAACTGAAGACGTTGCGGATTTGGCGATTGGGTTGATTATAGCGGTGCTGAGGAGATTGTGTGAGTGCGATAGGTATGTCAGGAGCGGGAAGTGGAAGATTGGTGACTACAAATTGACTACCAAGGTTCTGTGTTATTGAGCTTAATGCTGCCTGGTATTTTTGGATGAGTTTATTAGCTGAATTTGGATACCTTTATCTAACATGTTTTAGTTGAAGTATTCTGATAATTTGTGTTATTGTTAGTGATTGCAAATCCAAATGGTTGAATGTTTGATTCAGTTGAGAAATGGTGATAAATTCAGGTGGTTAGATTGTTGTTCTATGACACTGGCTGAAACTACTTGAGAAAATGATGCTAATTTCTAGTTCCTGAGCGTCCTTTATTCGATTAATGTGTGTTTTCCTTTCTTTATTAGGGCTAGACATTGACACAATCACAGTGTGTGTGAATGTATATTTAGTTCTAGAAATGTTCACTTGCATCAAATAACAACTATCTAGAATTTGGAGATTCTTTCCTCCTGGGAGTTCAGATTATTTGGGTTAATTGATAATGTTTGATAGTCTCAAACCTAGTGAATGTGAAGTTGTTACAGATTTTGGGGTGCAAAATTTTTTTTACCGGTAAAATGCACTTTTGTTCCTTGGATTTGAACTCCTTTTCTATTTGGTTTTTGGGTTTTCAAAACTAACACCTTGGGTTATTGATATCTAAATTTAGTTTGTGTTTGGTTCTTGAGGTTTTAGGAATGACATGTTTGGTCTCAAAGCTTTGAACTTGATTTATAATTGGTCCCAGAAGTTTGGAAGTGACTCTTATGTAGAGTTAACAGAGGTTCATATAACGGAATGTAGTTAAAATATGATGACGAGACTTTATTGATAACTATTTTTTAAACGAGTTAGACATTTTTTCTTATACTCGGGGATCAATTAGAAATCAAATCTAAATCTCATGATCAAACATGTCATTTTTGAAACTTCAATGACCAAATAGAAACTAAATTCTAATCTCAAGGATCACCAGAGTTAGCTTTGAAAACTTAAGGTTAGTTCAAATCGCAAGGACCAAAAAGGGTGTTTTTGTCTTCCTTTAACAAACCCTTGGATTTGTTGCACTTTGTTTCCTAACAATTATCTTGAATGAACTTTCTTTTATGTTCTACAGCACTGTTTATGTATTCGTTTCTCTCTCTATTCTTGCATCCAAGCGGCTAATGTGTTTGTTGGAAAGTGCATTGGTTTTATTCTCAGGTGTTGGAGTTTCCTCTTGCCGTTCACTCTCACTAACAGCATAAGAAATCAGTGCCAATCTTTATATATGTATTTTGGTTTGATTTTCTTCCTGTGGAAGTTAACTTATGGTAGCTGAATACCCAGCAGTTAGTTATGGGCATGGAGAAGTGAACATAAGGCTTCAACATGAAACTACTTTCCAGTTTCTATGTCTGAACATTTCATGCTAATTTTTCAGAGTAACTGGCTAAAAAATTTGGACGCTTTTATCTTACTTCTCGAGTCGCATTTTATGTCTTTTTTTTTATTGGAATGTTGCTACATTGGCAAATATTTTCATAATTTGTCTTTCTATAACGGGGTAAGGTATCCAATTGTATCTTTGTAATTGTTCTGGACTTGTCGATCTATACTAATAATGACATTGTTATTGTTTCTCAGTTCTCTGGAAAATCAGTTGGCGTTCTTGGTTTGGGAAGAATCGGCTTAGCAATTGCCAAGAGAGCTGAAGCATTCAACTGTCCGATATCTTACCACTCAAGAACAGAAAAGGAAGGTTCCAAGTACAAGTACTACTCAAACCTTCTCGAGTTGGCCTCCAACTCTGATATTCTGGTCGTTGCTTGCGCACTAACAAAAGAGACTCACCACATCATTAACCGGGAAGTTATCGATGCATTGGGTCCGAAAGGCGTTCTCATCAATATTGGGAGGGGTCCTCACGTTGATGAACCCGAATTAGTAGCTGCCCTGGTCGAAGGCCGATTAGGCGGTGCAGGACTTGATGTGTTTGAGAATGAGCCTGAAGTGCCTCAAGAGCTCTTTACACTTGAAAATGTCGTCCTGGTGCCTCATATAGGAAGTGGAACTGTTGAAACTCGTACAGAAATGGCTAACCTTGTGCTTGGAAACCTGGAAGCTCACTTCTCCAATAAACCTCTGTTAACTCCGGTGGTGTAGTTTTGTGATCAAGCCTATGTTGTAGCCTGGAGACTTCTATGGCAGCTGCAACCAGTAACCATGAGACCACTGCTTCCAAAAACTGGCAAATGCCTCGGGTTTGCCACGGGTCAACGAACTGATTCAATGAGTACTACCCGGAAATGTTCATAATTTGAATCTTCTATGACTATTGCTTTCGTACATTATTGGTATCATAAGGCCACAATTTAACTCTTCTTATCAGTCTGAGGAAATATTTGAGACATCTCTTGCTTCCCAGAAAGATCGTTTTTAAGCATTCTATGATGAAAGGAAACTATTTCCATTTCTCATTCAAGCCTAGGTTGTTAGGGATCTCAGTTTAGATAGTTTCTGACCATTTGTATGAACCAGGAGATTGCCTATAATTGATTGTCTGAACCCAAGAATTAGCTAATCTTGGCGGAGAAGTGAAATGGGCACTGAAAATGCTTGGAAAGGATTAAGAACTGTGTTCACGAGTTCAATATTTACATAGTATACCCACCAAAAGCATTTAAAAGCTTTAGAACATCAAGCATCCAAACAACCCACAATGATATTCAAACTCTCTAGAGATTCAAATCCCTTTGAAGATGAGAAAGTTAAGAGTCTCCAGTTTGAAGTAGATGAAAGAGCCTTTGGAGTGGGTGAAGAAGCAACCAAAATTTGAACCCACCACACATTGCCATCCGCTTCCATATCTATTGTCAAAATCCTGCAAGTCCACAACCAAACAAGGAATCAAAGCCTGAGATTTTCAAACCAATCTCTTCAAGCTACCATGTTCTTCTACAACCATGTTCTACATATAGAGCGTAGCAGCCCAAGTCTACCACTAGCAGATTTTGTCAGGGGAGGTTTTCACTCTCATATAAGGAATACTCGTGGGATCTTAGAGAGAGATAAGGGAGAGAGGGAACCTTTTTGATGTGGGCTGCAATGGATTTGCAGTCGAGGACATCATAGCGATCCAGAGCTTCAGAAGCAGCGTCCATGGCTTGGATCTGCATCTTGCCAGGCATATCTGTATCCTGTACCAAAGCTTTGCCTTCCAACATCCTTTCCCCTTACCTGAAAAGACAGAACTGGTGGGTATTTGCTCGACAAGATGATTATACCAATCTGAAATGCTTCTTCTTCCAAGACTATAATCCAACACAGAAACAAGAAGAAAGGGAGCAAATAGATGATGATTTTATACAAGGAAAGACTCTAGAACCCCCTCTGGAATCTTTTGAAATTCAAGTTTTAAGCTGGCACTTCTTCCGATTAATATCATTTTTGTGTCATTTTCTCTCCCCACTTTAAGGACTTCAACCATTCAACTCTATTTTATTAGTGTGATATCTTACATGTTGGAGAACATTAAGGGTTTGAAAACCTTTCCCTAACACATACGTTTTAAGATTTTGAAGGAAAGTACGAAAAGGGAAGCTCAAAGGCGGTGGGCTTGGCAATTAAGGAAAGTTTTCTCTGTCTCTCTTTCTCTCTTCCTTTCCCTTTCCCCTGCGCTGAAGATATTTATGGGTGAAGGATAAAGGTGGTGAGGCCAATAATGCAGCTAAGTTTTTCTTTGGATTTTTCTCCCAATTAGTCGATGTTGGGATAGGAGTGCTAAGTACTGTCCCAAAGTTTGTAAAAATTTACTAGCTTTCTTAAAGCTCCAATCAATGAACATCTCCAACGAGGAAGTTGGACCCTAAAAGAGGTAGATTGTAAGATCCCATATCGGTTGGGAGGAGGACGAAACATTCTTTATAAGGGTGTGGAATCTCTCCCTAGTAGACACGTTTTAAAAATTTCGAGGGTAGCTCGAAAGTGAAAGTTCAAAGAGAAAAATATTTACTAGCGGTGGGCTTAGGCCGTTACAATTCCTATCTTATCTCCATTTTTCTTATATTTTTCTAGAATGAAGCAAGAGTATGGTTTCATTTTTATTTTAGAGTTTCCTGTTCTTGGATTTGAACCGGTAACACGAGAATTTTGATGAATATTTCCAGTCCAGAAATGGTTGTAAAGGAGACAAATCTTTTCCAGTTTAGAACAGAACAAAAGAGATGAATCTTTACAAAGGTAACCACTCTTTATTCATACTGAGGTATCTCTGCACAAACCAACAAAAAAGTAATCTGCAGAAGAATTTCTTATAGAATTCATTCACATACAGACGAATGGATCGATACGAGCGTTGGGGCGAAAGTGTGAACATAGTCACTCATATGTGCATGAACTCTTCTTGAACATGATGGCCTTGGTGCTGGTAGAATCAATGCCCACAGGGCAAGAGATTTTCTTTATATGTGTTGTTCTTACGAGCTGCCCAACGACGTATCCTCGTGATCGAACTTTGAATGCCAATATCATTGGAACTGGGCCACTTGTAGGGGGAACTGTCAAAGTTGATGCAGCTCCATACATTGGAACCTTGATTCCTTCCAAGTTGATAGATACTGTTCGGTGGCTGTTTCTTGGCTGATAGTATTTCAACTGCACATACAATCACAAGGTATGAGAGTTAATGTCCTTGTTGTCTGAGAATGAGAAGATGAAAAAGTTACAAATTTTTGTCGAGATGAGCTTAGGCCGGTTTGAAATGATTATCTAAGTGCTTAAAAAGATTCTTTTTTACGCTTCAAATGTAACGGCTCAAACCCACCACTAGCCGATATTATATTGTCTTCTTTGGGCTTTCTCTCAAAGTTTTTGAAACGCATTTGCTAGGAAAAGGTTTCTACGCCCTTATAAAAAATGTTTTGTTCTCCTCCCCAACCGACGTGGGATCTCACAATCCACTCCCTTTCGAAGCCCAACGTCCTCATCACTAGCCCTCCTTCCCTTCTCCAATCAATGTGGGACCCTCCAATCCTCCCCCCTTCGAGGTCCAGCATCCTCGCTCGCACTTGTTCCCTTCTCCAATCAATGTGGAACCCTCCAATCCACCCCCTTTCGGGGCTTAGTTTTATTGCTGGCACACTCCCTCATGTCCACCCACTTTGAGACCTAGCTTCCTTGCTGGTTCATTGCTCGGTGTCTGGCTCTAATGCCATTCATAACGGACCAAGCCCACCGCTAGCAAATATTATCTTCTTTAGGCTTTCCCTTTCTGCTTTTTCATCAAGGTTTTTAAAACATGTCTACTAGGGAAAGGTTTCCACACCCTTAAAAGAATGTTTCGTTCTCCCTCTAACCGATGTAGAACCTCACATAAAAACACTTTTCAAGCATTTAGAAAGTCATTCCAAACCAACCCCATAGTGTTTAACCCTTAATTCTATCGCTCAAGACAAGCCTCGTAAAACGTTTAACAGAATAAACTTCAGTTCAAGCTCAACATAAGTTCATTACCTGACCAGAGGCCACAACAATATCTGAATAAAGGAGATCAACTGCTGTGGAAGTAACATGAATGCCAAATACCGTAGCAGGGTTATACACACTTAACCTCAAAGTGCTGTTCAATGTCAGCAACTTGGTAGGAACCCCAGTTGAATCTGAACCTTCCCCAACATAAAAGTTATGCACGGCCAAGCTCTGTAAGGATCAAAATTTGCATTCAACAAAAAACATCTCTGTTTATGCTAAATTCATATAATAACTTGTCTACCTTGACAGAAATCTGAGCCTTGAAGCTCCTGGTAGCGCCCCAAATGATGAGGCAGAGAAGCATGAACAAAGCAATGAAGCTTAGAAGAGCAATTATGGCCTGAAAGCGTCTTGAAAGAGCCTTGTCCTCAAGGTCATCATAAGGCCCTTCTTCCATGATCACATTACATTCCGGCCACCCTTTGTCATTGCTAATCATCTGCTTCTTGCTCCCTTTTCTCCCTGAAGATGACTGGAAAATCCCCGAAAATCGACTCGCCGATGAGTTTCTTGAATGGCGACCGAACGACGGGTGTGACGGTGACTCAATTGGGCTGTTGTTGTAGATTGGAGTGGTGTGCAGTGATGAAGATTTGTCACCATCGTTAGAACACCGTGAAGGGCTCTGCACATAGTATGTCGGCCGCTTCGGTGACCTCGACGGAGACGATGGCGCCAAACTGGTTATATCGGACTCGGATTTCGCCGAAAGCATTTCTTTAGGAATTTGAGGAAGAGATTCTACTGGGATTTCAAAACGGGGGACAATTCTTCAACTCTCTGTACTGGAAGGTTAAGTAGGAAGGAGATGAAAGGCTTGAACCCAAATGACAGCCACTAACAGAAGAATGAGTGTCGGCAGCAGCTTATTATTGGTTCTTTATTTTTCAAATTTTTTTCCATATATTTTTAAATATTTAAATTTAGCTAAAATATTTTCCACAAATATCCATTTTTTCTCCCTTTGAAAATAATAATAATGAATTATTATTATTATTATTTAACTAATTTGGAAAAAAAATAATTTTAGAACTTTGAAGGACTAAATTTAAAATTTAGCAAAAATACATCTAATTGGTATTTTTTTTCTCTTATTTTACTTTTTTTTTCTTTTTAAATAAACTTAAAAAAAAAAATGCTTTCCCATCTAAAATATCTTTTATACAATTTTTATAAAGACATAATCTAGTCTAATTTTAATTTGTAATAATTTAGTCTCTCAAATTTTAAATTATAATAGTTTAATGTGTATTTAATTTATAGATTTTTAAATTTATAACAATTTAATTTCTAAAATAAGTATAAAATTTTTAAAATCAAACTTAATGTTTGTAGATATAAATGTAAGGGGTCCATAGTTTATATTGTCACCTAACTATATTATATATATATATAGATATATATATAAAAGATTAAATGCAAAAAGATTCCAATAAAGTCGCACCAAATTGGATTAGGCTGCTAGTGATGTGGTAATTACAACCACAAGACAAGACAAGCAATAATTCATCATTTTTTTAAAATAATAATTCGTCATATTTTTAAATAAAAGTTTATGAAATAATAATTATTTTTTGGTCCGAAGATTCTGTACCGACAAATGTGTAAAACATTTAAATTAGATTTTCCATTTTATATTTATCTTTCATAATTTCTCACTTGATGCAATCAGCAAAGTATTTAATTTCCTCCAAGGATGGGTTAATTAATTATTAAGAAAATTATGAATTAAATAGAATTTTTTTTTAGGTAACATAAATATCGAAGAATCAAGTTAGATCAAGTTACTTGTTTACGTCTATGCAACGTAGACGATCAGTGGACAATGAAAAGGAGCAGAACACAATCAATCATCTTTACTATTAATTTTCTTTTCTCCCAAGTTTTTGCAAAGTAACTCCAATGAGAAGAAACCTCCCGACCCACCCTATCACACTCTAAGATCTTTCTAGAACTATGGTAGTACTGGAAAAAAAAATTCATGCTACACCCGGTTGTTTGTCATAAAAATAGTTTTTCGCTGATATTTAACTTAAAAATAAAATAATATATCATCTGATGACGTGTTAGACACTAAAGAAAAGAATATGTACCATTATATTACTAACTAGGTCCTTCGAGTAGAATGATAGATAAACACATCTAGTCATACCGATTAGTCGTTTAGGTAGTTAGAAAATCAACGACCAAAATGTATGGAGACTTACAAACGAAGATGACATCAAGTTAGGGTTCTTAGTTCATTCTCTCATGTTGAGACCCAAAAATGATTAAGCAAAATATATAAACATCAATGGTAATATAATTGGACCAAATGGTTTCAGGAACATAAAACAGAGGAAATACAGTGAAGGAAGTAGACAGCACCCATTAGTTTACACTTAGCACTCACATCCTGTTGATCTTTGCTGCCGTCCACCTGCAACATCAATGGTGTCGGGAATGTATCTGCCATTTTCCCAGAAAGGGAAACAAAAGTTAATGACTAGCAAGGGAACGAAACTCCGACGAACTCTCGAGTCCCGTACAAGAACACAGATTTTGAACTCTACTAAGAATTCGTGTTTAGGCAGTTCAATGAGTAATAACTCTGGTTGTTCGCTGTTCAAGAATTCTTGTTTAGGTAGTTCATACCATCCATACATAATGTTTTGATCTAAGATTTCGATTCTTCTATGTTTTAGCAGTCGTATATTGTTCCGTGCAGCTAAGGTCCAAAATATGGAAGAAACTCGTGTTTTCACGACTCTACCACCACCGAGTCAATTCTATGTCTCGAGTGTTATGAAACTCGTGTCTCAGATTCTAAAGGTTCTGAGGATACATTTCAGCAAGAAAGTGAAAAATCTTTGTAAAAGTAAGTTGGATCAGGGACATGGCTATCCAAAGGGCAACTCTACTCGTACTCCGAAGTTAATATTTTAAACAAATCGACAAGCCTAGAATCCTAACGAGAAAATGAGGGGATATTCCCAAACCTGGTTAGAGGAGGTTTTCAGCAGACATAATATAACATAACGTGACTCTCGTACTTGTGTTATTTAACAACCTAATTCAATAAGTGTAACAGCCCAAACCCACCACTAGCAGATATTGTTCTCTTTAGGCTTTTCTTTTCGGGCTATCCCTCAAGGTTTTTAAAACTGCGTCTGTTAAGGAGAGGTTTCAACACTCTTATGAAGAATGCTTCGTTCCCCTCTCCAACCGATTGGGATCTCACAATAAGATTTCTAAAGATAGAACGTAGCTATATGCATAATCAATAAAAGGATGTCGTGAGGAGGGAAATGAAGCTACAATTGCAATTCAATGGAGTGTAATATACTAACATTTCTTCTTCTGGTTCATTCTTGAGAGCATTTTTGGCTATACATTGAAATGCCGCATCCACATTGAATCCTTCTTTTGCAGACGTTTCAAAGTAAGGTATGTTTCCTTTTGAAGCACACCACGCCTTTGCTTTCTTCTCAGAAACCTACAACACCAGTAAAGCAGAAAAGAACAATCCTCACTCTGGCCTAGTAATTCAGATAACCATGATAAAAGCAAAACCGAGCAAAACTCACCACTCGACTGTTCCCACCATCAACGTCGACCTTGTTCCCCAATACAACAAAAGGGAAGTTCTCGGGATCAGACGGACTAGCCTAAACATAAACAAACAAAAGGCTTTCATTAAGAACAAGTATATGATGCCATAGGCTTGTATCTATCTAGTATCGACACCGAATCAACACCGACCTGAATTAGAAACTCTTTTCGCCAGTTGTTAAGATTATCAAATGATTTCATAACGTTCACGTCATAAACAAGAACACAGCAATCAGCACCACGGTAAAACGCCACTCCAAGACTTTGGAATCGTTCTTGCCCAGCTGTGTCCCAGATCTGCATTTTGACACTACACATATAAATCGTCCATCTCAAGACATTTTAAGGCAAACCCACACCAGCTTCTCAACAAAAATAAATAAACAAACCAATAGGATATTTCCTGTAATTATATAAACTAATCCAAACCACAACCATGGGAAGGAAGGGAAACAATTCTATCTCAAACGTAACCGAGTCAGAGAGGAATAGCAAAGATAATTATTATCACAGAGTAAAGATTTAAACCACAGTTATTAGAAATCACGACCCTCCACAATAATATGATATTATTATTGTCCACTTTGAGCATAAGCTCTCATGGCTTTACTTTTGGTTTCCCCAAAAGAGACCTCATAACAATGGAGATGTATTCTTTACTTATAAACCCAGGATCATTCCCTTAATTAGCCAAGGTGGAGCTCTCTCCCAACAATCCTCAACAATTCTCAACAATTCTCCTTTCGAGCAAAGTACACCATAGAGCCCCCCTGAGGCTTATTGAGTCCTCAAACAGCCTCCCCTTAATTGAGGCTCCTCTGAAGCTCTCGAACAAAGTACACATTTGTTTGATACTCGAGTCACTTTTAACTACAGTTCGAGGGTCACAACTTCTTTGTTCGACATTTGAACATTCTACCGACATGACTAAGTTAAGGGCACGACTCTGATACGATGTTAGAAATCACGACCCTTCACAATGATATGATATTGTCCACTTTGAGCATAAACTCTTGCGGCTTTGTTTTTTGTTTCCCCAAAAGGCCTCATACCAATAGAGATGTATTCCTTAGTTATAAACCCATGATTATTCCCTTAATTATTTCCTTAATTAGCCAATATGGGACTCCCTTCCAACAATCCTCAACATGAATTGCTTTTCATTTCAGATATAATGAGTGAACGTCATAAATTTCATAAACTAGAACTTCTAGAGATCCTCAATGACCAATCCTAGCATGAATTGCTAATGCTTAGTACCAGAGAAGCCATTAGAGCCCATTAACTTTGAACACATTCCCATAGCTTCATTGAAAAACAGAACATCCAACAGATGAGAACAGTAGAGCTACTATAGCCATACTTACTTGTAACGTGAATGACCTGTCATCGAGCTGAACTTCCTTCGTGAGAAAATCTGCTCCAATGGTCGCCTTGTATTGATTGCTAAACTTACGATTCACATACCTAGACATCCAAATAAAAGTAGCAAACCCAACAGGCAATTAAACAACCCTATTAATGAAATGAGTACCAAAACAAACGTTCAAAGTTTCGGATTCAAACGCATACTGATTCATTAGCGATGTCTTCCCCACGCTGCCAGAAATTGTAGAAACTTAATTAGGGAAAAACAATCCATCACATCCAATAAAGGAAGAACAGAAAAAACAAGAACTAGAACACGGAACGGGTCCAGGATTTACGAGTTTCCAAATTCCCCCACCATACCGTCTTCGATTATCTCAAATTCAAGGAACCAGAATCAAAATGCGATAGGGAAATAAAAGGAAAATTGAAAGCTCACCCACTATCGCCAAGGATAATGACTTTCAAAAGTATGCGCCTGCGTGAAGCCATGGATGAAAAGCACGAAATTGGAGAGAATTTTAGGGAAGTTTTAAAGATTTTAAATTGACCGAAAGAGATGAAGAACGGAAAATTTTTCGTGGGTGTTGTCGAGGGAAAAGGCTGACCGGAAATTGTAAAATAGCGGCAAACAATAGGAGGACAGGAAAGGGCGGTTGAGTCCGCTATATCCCCAAAATACCCTCAGAACGATGGCTTTTTTACGTCGGATGCCATTCCCTCCCTATTTTTTCCATTGTTCCAAATCATTTCACCCGCAAAAATTTAAATGTCATTATATAACTCAGACTTGGTTGGCGGGAAAATGCTCCTTTTACCCATTTTAATTTGGAAAATAATAATAATAATAAATTTTAAAAATCTTGAAAAATAGTTATAGGGTTCCATTTTGATTGGGGCTAATTTTGGAAGTGTACTTTTTTTTCCCTCATAAATATATTAAAAGCGTGACATTAGTAGGTGAAAATAAAACTTTCAAATTTTTTATTTTAATCTTTTAAATTTTGTTTCCAAATAACCATTATTTCCTTAAAAATTTTCGTTGTTATAAAGTCAAAAAGTGATGTGACACTGACTCATAAAATGGCGGTGCAAATTTAATTATACTCTTAAATTTAAGACTTTTTTTTTTTTTTTTTTTTTTTTTT